TATTCTACTTGTAAGGTGGAAATATAAAAAACAAAAACCATTTACTAGGGAGTTCAGTTGGTCTAGTGGTAAGAATTAGCACTGCAATTCCGAAGGCATATGGTTCAAATCCACCAGTGGCTCTGTGAGAGAAGGATGTTAATGGTCTAATCGCACACAGCAACAACAGTACCATTTAAGCATTTCTTGGTTTTCCTTAGAAAATAGTAATTACACACTTTGACTGTGAAGTGCAAGTTACATTATCAGAAGAGTAGTGTTTGCTATGAGTATTTTCTTTCCCGAGGCTTCTGAACTTCTTCGCAGACTCAGGCCTGATGGAAGGAAGGCCCGCTACAAAGAGCTGTGGTGTTTGCCTCATTGAGATGGACATACAGGATACATATCATTTTACTGAAGCACTTTCCCTCTGTATTCTTGTTGTATCCATGACCACTGGCTAAGCAGACTCTTGATAGAAAGACATTAGATGTAGCTGTAATTTGGTAGTTCAAGTTAGGTGAGATGGAATCTTTGATTATTTTTCTAGATAAACTAAATTGTTGTAATTTTCTGAAAACAATTATTAATTCCTTTTTTGTTTCTATTGTCTGTTGACATCTCCTAGTCTTTTGTTTTACAAAATCTTTTAGCAGGATTCAGTTTATGCTTGTTTGAAAATGTAAAATTTTTCATATGTTCCTATTTGTTTTTTGGTTTTCATTTGAATTAGTAAAGTATGCATTTCAAGTCTACCTAAATTATGTCTTACCTCATTCTCTTGTAATTAAAACATGAAAAACTAGTAAATGGGCTCTGAAATAAATTGACTCATAAGTGGAAATAGAATTGACAGTGAAGCTGTTGATAAACCTGTTTCCTAAGTTTATACTTTGAGCATGTTGTCAAGAAGGGCCGACTGACACTGTAACTGCAGCAGTGGGCTTGAAGACAACAGAGATTGTAAGGCTGGCACAGGGCCATGGAGCCTTCTGTTCTGTTATGCAGGGATTGCTGTGATGAGAGCATGCTCAGTGGCACATAACAATACTAGGAGGGTGATAGCTTAAATAATAGACTCTTGTGACAACTCCACCTTCTGAGATTGTTTTGCACATATATAGACACACACACACAAACACACACACACACACACGTATGTGTTGTGTTGTTATGTGCCTTCGAGTCGCTTGTGACTCATAGCGACCCTATGTATAAGAGCCTGTTAGCTGCTCTATCCTGTGCTAATGTTGCCGTCTCCGGCACACTCATTCCTACCACCCCAATTACAGAATTGATCCATCTCATTAAGGGTCTTCCTCTCCTGCACCATCCCTCCACTCTCCCAAACATGATGTCCTTCTCTAAGGACCAGTCCCTCCCTCCTTGCCAGGCTTCAGAATCCTTGACTCTAAGGAACATTCCGGCTTCACCCTCTCCAGGAAAAACCTGTTTGTTCTCCTAGCAGTCCATGGTATATTCAACACTCTTCTCCAGCACCACAGCTCAAAGGCATCAATTCTCTTTCTATCATCCCTAGTCCCTGTCCAACTCTCCGATGCATAGCACATAATTACGAAGACTGTAGCCTGGATCAGGGGCACCTTAGTTTCCAGCCTGACGTTAACTGCTCTTCAGAGAGGTCCCTCACAGCTGACTTTCCCAATGCAATTCGTCCCTTGATTTCCTGGCTGCTGGTACCAAGAATGTTGACTATGGAGCCAAGTACTAAAAAGTGTTGACTATCTCAATCTCTTCACCATCCATACTGATGCTGCCAATTGGCCCAGTGGTGAGAATCTTTGTTTTCTTGATGTTGAGATCCTTGACCTTCTGCAGCAAGCACTTTAGGTCCTGCTCAGTTTCAGCAAGCAGGGTTGTGTCATCTGCATATTGCAGGTTGTTCATGAATCTTTCATCAATCCTAATGCCACATTCTTCCTCATACAGCCCAGCATCTCAGATGATCTGTTGTGTATACAGATTGAAAAGATATGGAGACAAAATACATCCCTGACATACCCCCTTCTTGACTTTGAACCATGTAGTGTCTCCTTGCTCTGTTCTGAGGACTGCCTCTTGGTCCAAGCATAGGTTTTGCATTCGCACAATCAAATGTTCTGGAATTCCCATTCTTCTCAGAGTCAGCCATAGCTTGTTGTGATCCGCACAGTCAAAAGCCTTTGCATAGTCGATGAAGCACAGATAGACATTCTTCTGGTATTCTCTGCTTTCTGCCAAGATCCATCTAACATTAGCTATAATAGTCCTAGTACCATGAAGTCTTCTAAATCCAGCCTGCACATCTGGCAGTTCTCTGTTGACTCCAACCGTTTTTGGATAATTTTCAGCAGAATCTTGCTTGCATGTGATATTAATGATACTGTTCGATAATTTCCGCACTCAGTTGGGTCACCTTTCTTTGGAATGGGAATAAATATCGATCTTTTCCAGTTAGCCAGCTGGCTGTCCTCCAAATTTCTTGGCACAACATAGTGAGCACATCCAGGGCAGTATCTTTTTGTTGAAATATGTCAATTGGTGTGCCATTAACTCCTGGAGCCTTCTTTTTTCCAATTCCTTCAGAGCAACTTGAACTTCCTCCTTCATCATCACACGTTCTTGCTCATATTTAATGAAATTCTTCTATGTCAGCCAATTCCTTCTGATACAGTGACTCTGTGTACCCCTTCTGTCTTCTTTTAATGCTTCTTGGATCATTTAACATTCATGTTACGTATGTATATACTCAGTCACTCATTGCCATAGAATCAGAACTGATTCAGACTGACCCTGTTGGGCTTCTGAGCCTGTAAATTCCATGAAAGAAGATTGCCCATCTTTGTCCCAAGGAACAACTGATGAATTTGAACTTCCAACAACTGATGAATTTGAATTTGTGGTCCTTGGATTAGCAGTGCAACTCTTAGAAGCTAGCTATGCCATCAGAGTTCCCTATGTGTATGTAGGTGTGTTCATAATTTCTTCAGTATCTTTAGTTTACTAAGGACATTAACATGAAGTTTTTTAGCTTTTTGAGAAGAACTATTCTTAAACAAAGGGTAACACATTGTCCATGTTTCATCCATAATCACAGATGACAAATTTACCTTAATTCTTTAGTGTAGGCTGCATTAATAACACTTCCAAGACTGTAGCTTTGGCTTCTATATTAAATCACCAAAGTGACATTTGATTTCTCCTTTTATGGCTTACATATTTGTTTGTGTTTGCTTACATTTGTGTGTGCATTTGCATTACATTTGTAGTGTAGTTTATATTTTTCATTTGTATCTCAAAAATCTCCCAAGGCTATTTTGTTCTGTAAACTTGTAATCTGATGCCTAACTCCTTTGCAGTTCTTATCAGCTGAGATTTCCTTTTTGCATGTATAGGTTTTCTGTGCTCATTGTCTGTCCTGTCTGAATTTAGAACTGAAACTCAGACATCGGCTATTCCATTCTAGAGCAAATAGACAAAAGAAGAAATTTCTCTTCGGAAATATTTAATATAAGAGGGATACTAGAATTGTTTTACTTGTCATTCACTTATATTATTTTAAATTTTCCTATGTTGTGACTAGTATGACATAACATTTATTTCAAGAGCAAGTATCAGATGATCAAAGAATTTGTAACTAGAGTACATTTATCATTCTTTTGTCCTATATTGCCTTGTAGCCTCCCATCTCTATTTGATCCCATAGTATCGTTAATATTTTCATTGATTGGCAGCATAATTTAGAATTGCCAAATTAATACGTAGCAACGGTGTAAAAATTATGCAGCTAATATTTTAGTCAGACTTTAGTTAGTTAAAGAAATTTCAGACTTCTGAATCTCCTTTAAAGAATGGCTGAAATCTTACATATTTGCATGTAAGATTTTCTCATTTTTTTAATGATACCTTTTTCTAACACAGAGGACAGTATTGTGTGAGTAAATTAATGTTTGCTGCTGAGTAACCACCGACACTGTTTTTCAGGTATTTGGTACTGTCAGGGTTTAAAAAAATAAGTATGGTATAAACTAGATGGCTATTTGAATATATAATACTTGCTCAGGTAATTTTCACTGTTGTGTAGAAGTGAAGAATATAGTTGACCTTGTCATCTTAGTAGTTGAGAAGAGATGCTTAAAGAGGCAGTTTTATCTCTCTTTTTTTTAAAAAAAAAATTTTATTATTTTGTATGTGTGAACCGTCAAATCACATCTGACTGGTACAGGAGAAGATTGTCCCTCCTTGTCCAGCAGAGCATCTGTTGGATTTGAACTGCACACCTCAGTGATTGCAGTGCAGCTTCTTG